CTAGAATTTGCATTTATTCGTGGAAATTCATGACTAGGCATGAATTGTTCACACTAATTCAATCATATAGCAAGCATTCTTCATGAATGCATACAACCGATTTCTACTGGGTTGCTAGTGTACGCATACTAAGACAAAAATGTTGCGCTGGTATTAGTAGCTCTGTCGACGCTGTGCACCACTGATGTTGATCCTGTTTGTTGCCCCTCTGAAAAAATTTTAAAAATTCTATACAAATTTCTTATGTTTGAAATGCAACCATGGATACTAGCTGGCAGGGATACTTGCAAATTCCTGGAAATTTGCGTTCGTGCAGAGATTTGCAAGTTTGTCTACTTGAGAGAGAATTTGGGAGCATTTTTTCTTATCATCTGATATTTTGAGTGATAATTCTCGCTGCATTTTCGACGAAAAACCTATTGTTTTCCCAGAGAGTTTTGCTTTACATAGAAATGTGTGCTCTTTTATTTTCATTTTGACGGATTTCAGTGTTGGTTCTTTAAATTCAAGTTGGCCTTCGGTTTTTGGAATTTAAATAAGTTCTCAGCAAAAAAATTTTGTCTAAAAAAATACATATGTGTACATAGTGCTTGAAAATATCCATTTTTCCCTCACCTTAAATCTTTAAGCGGGGGCGGCAATGATGTTTTTTTAATTAAGGCAGAAATGAATAGAGCTGTAAAAGTAACGAAAATTTGGATACCCGTATGTTTTCGTTAAAATACAAACAACACCCGTATCTTGCGTATCGCTACTTTACTCGTTACTTTTGATACAAGCACTTGTATGATAGCGTAAGAAAATGTTCGTTCACACATATGCATGCATGTATGTTAGGGTTGCCAGATTTTGAAACGGAGAAAGGAGTACATTTATATTTTCGATAGAAAAAAAGCAGTACAAGACCTAAAAAAGGAGTACAATTTTTTTTTAAATTTTTTGTGCAATTTATTGTTACAAATTACCATTAATTACGTACAAATAAACAAAGATATTTTAGAAATCTTTTTCAAAGCAACAATAAATGTTAAAACTAAATAACTATGTAAATGGGCTGGCTTTCCAATAAGGGCGGTCGTTAAAGTGATGATGATCAAAGCGGGAGTGGGCGTGGCACGCAATTGTGATATTTGGCGATTTTTCTAAGGCGTCCCAAGGGACCCATAGGGGGCCTAGGTGATCGGGGGTGCTACGCCCACTCCCCCTTCCCTCACCACCTCTTCAAAGACCGCACTTATAGGAAATTTCCCCCAACTAAATTCTACAAAAGAACTCTAAACTCTTTCAGAATATATGGCCAGTTTTTTAATTTAGGCCTTATAATTAATTTAATATTTTTCTGATTTTTATAACCGAGCGCTCTGCACCTACCTTGCTACGACCATGCCTACACCTTTTCACTATCACACTTAACTTTGCTTACTAAGTAGTATTTGCCACAATATTAATGGCAAAGTACAGGGCGTAAGATAATAACTGTCGCACAGGTTTTTTGAAAAATAAAAGGGTCCTTTATAGATGTTGCGAAAAAGAGTATTTTTTTGTTAACTTTGTAAATACTTTACATTAATTTTATTAATTACTTTTAAAATTTTAATCCTTATTTGCATTGCCAGCTTTGGGAGATAAGTTCATGCGGCACTCACGTCTTTTATAGGTGTACTTTTTCTTAGAATTTGTATAAAAAAAGAGAAAAAAAACTGTATAGGGTTGGCGTATGAATGCCCTCTTAGTCACCGGTTCGGAGTCTTTTCGATTGCTGAGTATGAGGCCTTATGTTGGACAAAAGACGGAGTATAAAGGACCCAAATGGGGGAAATTAGCCTATATTTACAGAAGATATGTAATAAAGTAACCGATGAAGACTTGCGTGCCGCTTGCGCTTTTCTCCCAAACCCGCTGGTAAACCCAAATGAAGGTTGAAATTTAAAAACAAATTAATAAAATTTTCGCAAAATCTATAAAGGTCCCTTTTATTAAAAACAAAAAAAAAACTGTGCGACAGTTATTATTTTACACCCTGTATATGATAAAATACTAATAGCTGGAAAAAGGAGAACAAAAGAAGTACAAAACTAATAAAGGAGCACATTTCCATATATTTTTTTTGGGAGTACAAGGGAGTACATTTCAATAAAAAGGAGTACCTGTACTCCCAAAAGCAGTACGTCTGGCAACCCTAATGTACGTACATATACACGCAACACACTTTAGTATCGATACGAACAACATTTTCGTTCTCGCACAATATGCTGTGTTGTATTGATTCACGTTAACTGCGTACTCATTGTTTTGGACTCGTTATCTGCTTGTATTTCTACATGTCTATCTTTATATGAACTAGAAATGAGGTAGCATTTGTGCTTGAACAAATTTGACGTGCTTTTGTCGTTGAGTTTTAGAACGCTGTTACACTTTTTGCATGCCACAATATTGTCGATTTCTTGTACATCTTCATTTTGAATTCCTGCGTAAAACTCCCACACCTCTACCACACTCTTCTACCTTGCCTTTGTACCAATTTGTGTTCTCCGTTTGAAATTTTTGTTTTAATATGCGCATTGGTAAGATTTTGGATGGTAGGCGTTTCAGTTTACATTGCTGATGTTAAATTTAATGGTGTAGCTTTATAATTTTTATATTTTTTTTTATAATTAGAAATTTTTTTTTAAATATTTTACTCACTTCTTTAAGATAAATTTTCTGCAGAGCACACGAACGAGAGTTCAAAATAATACACAATGCAAAATGTTAGCTAAACCCTAATTGCGCGAAGCAGTAAAATAAGCCCCCTTTTTCAACGAATAAAATTCGCCAATGAAAATAAAATTTATGAATTTTCTTAACATTATGTTAAATACTAACATTTTGAAAGAAAAAACTTCATAAGTATTCGCATGATAAAAACATTAGAAGGTAAAATCATTCTCTCAATTCGTCGGCCACGATTTTTTTCTGACATTTGCAAACATTTTAAAATTATATCAAATTGAATATAAAAAAATGAACTTGTTCACAATTATTGTTGTTTGAGATTAAAAATGAGAATGTGTGTGTGAGCCTGAGCTCGAATTTTAAAATTATATTGCTGCCAAACGTCAGACTGCCTCTCAATGATTTTACCTTGTAATGTTTTTATCATGAGTATTCGTATGCTTCCTATGAAGTTTTCAAATACTACTGAATTGAGTATATTGATTACTCAAGTAATCTGGAAAAACGAAACAGTGTTTTATATAGCAGAGCACTGTTGAGTAACATTGTTCAGTTATTCAAATTTATGATGTTCTCTTTTTTTGTTCCTATCTTTTTAAGTACTCTAAAATTTATGTTCCATTTACTCATGTACACACCAGGGTTTCCACTGAAAAACTTTCTTTCCTACCAAGAGCGGGTTCAAAAACCTACCAAAATGGCGTCTTTCCTCTCATTTCTTTTAATCAAGAAAACTGCGTTTTCTGGTTTTTATACTTACAATAAGATATCCTGTAAACAAAAAAATCATAATAATATCTATTATATGTATATAGTAAACAGAAAAAAGTGGTTTGCTTTTAACCAGACACACCTACCGACATGTATTTCGACCCACTGAATCCGAATCTGGGGTCCGTTTGACTTCTAAATCCTCAAAATTTCGAGTAAATTGCGAAAAATCGAAAAAGTGACAAAAATTCTTAGTTTGTAGTTTTAATAAAGCCTTCGGAGTAAATGACGTGAAAAATCGTAGTGCTCATTTGCATACTATACATATACATACATATTTTTACCTAAAGGTGAAAAGGTGCCAAGTCCACTTTTTTTTTTTTAATTTAGTTTGTGATGCAGAATGACAGATAATGCGAAACTACATCGATTTTTCGTCTCTCCCGAACAAATTCAAAAAATGGACTTATCACCTTTTCACCTTTAGTTAAAGATATATACATTAGTAAGGTAAAAATAAACCTAACGGTTAGGTTTGCCAAATGTCCGGGTCTACGAGTCTCCGGGCTTGGGACAAAATCTGCGCGCTGCGGGTATGACATTAATTTCTTCGAGTTGCGGTTAAAAACTTTGAGATTCTCCGATTTACTGGAAATGTGACTATCAATAAGTGGTTATCTTTTTTGAATCGCTCTTCTATCGCCATTTAAAATATTTTAACAACCTTGTCATTGTTGAAACTATTATCGATTCGCAACTGCAATTCAAAGAAAAATTTCTCATTTATAAACCTGCCTTTGCATCCATCAATTCAATCACTTGATAATTAGATACGCCGTGGATAAGACTTTTTATACCAATACAGAGATCAGATAATTGCCCAAGATAATTGGTTGAATTTTGCCTATACCAATAAGTAACGAGGTTTTTCAATGAATGAGGGTAAAATTGATATTGTCAAAATTTTTCGGTTTTTTTACTCCTATATTGCTCGCTTAGGAGCGTAATGGGATATCTTCGAAGCGAGTAGTTAAAGAATGTTCCCTGAGGAATGATTTGGGAGCAATAAGCGGGATTTGTCGGTTTTGTACTCCGTTACTACTCGCTTAGGAGCAAAAACCGATGTCTCCATAGCGAGCAATCCAGGAGTATTCCTTTTGATTAATAGGGGAGCAATACGTACCTCGTTCAAAAGAAATTTTGTCTTTTTGGAANGGGGGGGGTGACTTTTCATAAAGCGGCATCAATCCTCTTTCGTTTAGGGGGGATTTGTGGGGCCCACACCCCCTTCCCCCTCCGCCCCCACCTCTAAATCGTTGTATAAATAGCTAAACATTTCCCCATTTGAGTGTTGAGAACGCAAATTTAAAGCTTTTAATCAAGAATGATAGAATATCGTGGCATTTACTACATTCCTAGCAATTAAATTCAGTTGGCGGTACAAGCGTTGCTCAGCGCTTATAGAAATAATATTTAGACATGACAGCACTGTATGGTGTACTGCACTGTATGACGATGGGTACTGTGGTGACACTCAGATGGCGCCGTGTTCAATTCAATACACCGCGCTATTGCGCTGGGTTAGTGCGCTGACAACACAGGTGGCGCTGGCGTTATTGAGCTAGCGCCAAAAAAATTGCGCAATTACCCATGATTAGTATTAAGGGAATACTCCTACTAATGTCATTCCGGAAACCTCCTAAAAGTGTAATAAAAAAACGTTCCTATTCTTAAAAATACCTCCTCACAGATTAAGTAATGAGACTACACTAATATTAAACATGCATTTTAGAATAACTCGTTTATTTTCTTTCCGCAGGTTAATAATATATGTACATACATAAATATATATTCACAAATTCATAAAAGATTGGCAAAACGGTGAAACACATATGAATACATACACATACATGAAGACGCTATTGAAGATGCGGAACACGTATTTTTCGCATGCCCCCGATTTAGCGCGCTGAGGAGCAGACTTAATCAAGCGCTAGGAATAAAGGCTTCCCCAGGAAATCTGGTCCCACTAATGTTGAAAAACGAAGAAGCATGGAAAGTGGTATGCAGCATGGCTGCTCAGGTGATGCAACAGTTGCGTACCAGTGAGCAGATGAGGCGCAGACACGAACGACAACAGCAAGAAGGGAATACTATCAACGCGATAGCCTCGATATAAGCAACGAGCCCATAAAGCCCGCCACATGAAGGGATAAGTGGCGGCACGGAACAAAAGGCGGCATTTTCATCGCATCCCTCCCCGTGAAGTAATGCCTAACGGTGGTCCCGCGGGGGGCGGAAAGTAAACAGGCTTATCCTGGTTTCGTTGGGCCACTTGAGGGTAGAAAAAATTTAAATTGGAAAAAATAAAAATTGTTGCAACTTTCTTTCCTAGTAAATTTGTTTGCTTCTCGAAGCATTGATCCATCCTTTACAAGGGCCAGTAATCAGCGGTTGTGCTGCTGAGTTGGGCGAACGTTCCAAAAGCTGCTATTCAATCGCTTGTTTTGTATGGAAAAAGGTTTCACATGCAAATGGATTTTAACAATTCAGAATTTTTGTGAGAAAAAATTAAAAATATTTGACATTTTCGAGACCAAATAATTTGAAAATAAATCAAATCAGCTGCTCTACTGATACTACCTGTTCAATGTACCTTGGTAGTAGGTAAGAAAAGTGTTCATTAAAAAATAACGAAGTGGCAAGTAACTCAAAGTCTGTAATTCCACATTTAACAATTTTCAAAATTTTCGGTTTAACGCGTATATTTTTTGAAGCATTTAAGTTTAAGAACTTTTTAAGTATGTATTGTATACTACAAACAATTACGAATAGTTTGATACCTTAGCAAGAGCAGTGCTTTCAGAATAAACCAACTTTTAAAGATAAAATATGCTGCGATCTTGAGCGTAATTTTTATTCCAAAAACACTTCAATTAAAGGCACATTTGGAAAATACGTCGAAACGATCTAAATCTTTCTATAACTGATAGTCCTTATAAAATTACATATACCTGTAAAATGCTTAAAAAAATTTGTCTCTAGAAGTGTGTAAAAACCCTGATTTACTACTTTTAATGATGCTCCTTCTTTTAGTCAGAATATTTCGAGAGTGGTATCAAAGCAACTTTTTTTCGACAAATGTTCTGATAGTTGCTCTTACTTAATTGGAGCCTTCTGAATTCAATGGCGTCCTAAGTTTTAGCCTATTGGCTCCACTTTTCGAGATGGCGGTACTTGAAACTTTGCTTAAATTTTAACTATTTTATAAAAAAAGTCCCTGGGTTTTGAATATATTTTACTAAAATTTTGCACATAACCGTTTTTATACCCGAGCGCACTTGTGCACAAGGGTATATTAATTTTGTTCACATAACGGTTGTTTGTAACAGCCAAAACGAATCGAGATAGATATAGACAAATGTATACATAAATGATCAGGATGAAAAAAGAAATCGATTAAGCCATGTCTGTCTGTCCGTCCGTCTGTCCGTCTGTCCGTCTGTGCGTCTGTCTGTCCGTCCGTGTACACGATAACTCGAGCAAAAATTGAGATATCTCAACGAAATTTGGTATGTAGGTTTCCCTTAATCCAAGGTAGGTTGGTATTGAAAATGGGCGAAATCGGACTTTAACCACGC